CACCGGGCATGTCAAACGCCGAGTGGAGGGCGGAAGTTCAGCGGCGGGAGGCTGTCACCGCCGACCGGCGGAACAGGGCCATCGCCAAGAAGGCCCGCGACAATGTGGCACGCGCGGCTGCCTTGGCGGACCAAACCGAGGCCGAGACGACTCGCGCGGGGATGATGAATCCACCCGGAAGCCACACCCAGTACGCGCCCTGGGGCCAGCAAGGCGTCGGCTCTCCGCAGCCATGGGGATCGCCCTCGCCGGGCTATGCCGACGGAGACGCGCACGATGGGTTCAACCCAAACGTCACCTTCCCCCATGGATACCCGGCCCAGCGCACGCCCTCTCCCGCCTTCGCCAGCGTGCAGTACCCTCCATACAACTACTCGCCGCCCGCCTACTCTTCCTCCCCGATGCCCCCGCTACGCCGTGGCCCGCTGCCCTTCTCGCACCTCTGCGACACCGATGATACCGAGGCCGACATGGACGACATCATCGCGGCAGGTTCGGCCGCGGCCACCGCATCTCCCGGGTTCGTCACCCAGGACGAGGTGGTGGATCTCAGCGGTGGCATGGACGGCGAGCTCGGCTACGTCTACGGCGAGGACGAGCAGGAGGAGTAGGAGGAGGAGGAGCCGACGCCTGCGACGGCGAAGGGGCGCAAGAAGAAGAAGCGGGCGGCCAGGACAGGCGAGCCGCGCATCAAGTGGGCGTCCAAGGAGGAGGAATGCCTCACCGAAGTATGGAAAGTCGTCTGCCTCGACCCGACGACCGGCACGAACCAGAGCATCGACACGTACTGGGACCGCATCAAGGCCGAGTTCGACGAGCGCAAGCTCATCGACCCCTACTTCAAAGGCGTCTACATGCAGCGCGGCTCCAAGGCGATGGCGAACCATTGGGGGCATATCCAGGGGGCGTGCAAGAAATGGCATGGGGTCGTCGAGGAGGTCGCGGCTCGCCCGGAGAGCGGCGCCCGCGTCGAGGATCAGGTATGCCACGCCGGCTCCCGCTTCTCTTCGCCGTGTACGCACGCCAACTATTTGTTCCTCCGTGCAGTTGCTACGCATGTTCGCCCTGTACCGGCAGAGCAACAGCGACGCCGAATTCAAGTACCTCCACGTCTACAAGCGCATTGACAAGTGCGAGAAGTGGGCGGAAGTCCGGCGCACCCTCAACAAGGCCAAGGAGACCTACAAGCCGGACGTGCCGACTCCTGGCGCATCGGAAGGGCGGCCGGACGGCAACAAAGTTGCCAAGCAGGGGAAATATGTCGACGTGGCCACCGCTCGAGTGCAGGAGTTCATCGAGCACTGCCTCGCCGACGCACAGGCCCGGGCCGTCCTTCGTGAAGACAAGATCGAGGCACGGTGGTCGGCATTGATGTTGAGCAGCGCCGTCAAGCTCGACCTGCTCCGGACGAACGTCGCCGCGAAGAAGAGAAACACCGACCTGGCTTTTCTGCTGGGCGGGGCGGACATGCTCCAGAGCACCGACGAGGCGTTCAAGGCGTGGTAGTTGGCGGAGCGCGGCCTCATCCTGAACCAGCTTCCCTCAACAAGGTCGCCGACGTCGACGCACACGCCGACGTCGACGCCGACGCCGACGCCAAGCCCGCGTGACGACGCCCAGACTGGGTACCGAGGCGGCGACCCTAGAGATGGTGATGGAAGAGCAGCATGCTTGGGGACGGTGTGCGGCGTTGGTCAGGTGGCGCAAGGCGGCACGATCGACCTCGTGGTGATGCGATCACGTTTGGGGCAAAGGAAGGGGAGTCAACATTGGTCCATCTGGCGCCCTACGCCTCCGGGTGTCGTGGACGTGTAGCATGTGGGCTCCGTCACTTGTCTCTAGTGTTGCGACACCACTGCTCATGACGACTGGGGGTCGTGTGGCCTTGTTCATTCAAGGGGTTGGGATGTCATGGTGTCCTGGAGGTGGGGACATCGGGTGGATCGAGTGAACGGTAGAAGCTAGGTCGGCGACCTCAGAATGTGGATACCCCACGTACACTGATATGGCAACCCCGAAATATTTGGCAGCATGCACTAGTAGAAAAAACCCCATTCGTCCCGGTTGATAAGGGCCTTTTGTCCCGATTTGTGAACCGGGACTAAAGGGTCGTTACTAATGCCCTAACCCTTTAGTCCCGGTTCTTACACGAACCGGGACAGATGGGCCTCCACGTGGCCGGTGCACCGAGCCCAGGCAG